CATCGTGTTTTTTATGGACACCCACATCTCCTCTTCACTTGCCCCACATGCTGTTGCCAGATCATGCATTATCTTTTTGAACATGTCCACTTAGTGCTCGGTCTTTCCAGACAGCTGCTCTGTAACTCCTGCCACTAACTGTCCTTGCTGAGTGAAAAAACTCACCGATCCAAATTTGTCATGTTTCTTTGTGGTACCATCCGTACCCACAGTGATGTTATCAGATTTACTGACAACGTCAGCTACATGCATCTGGCTAAGTCGCCTGGCTTCAGCAAACATGGTTTGCGCTGTGGAGTATTTTGGTAACCTACCACACTTGAGACCTCCTAACTTCTGCAGTACAGTCCTTATGATCCATTCCACATTGTTAAGTCCAGTGTCCATACTAAGTAACATCATGTAAACCTGTCGAACATCAGTGGTAAACCTACCATCTTCAAAAGTTTTCACTTCATCAGAATCAAGGAATTTTGTCATGTTATCATGTAATTCCTTGTTCTCTGCTTTTAGGTTTGCTATCTTCTCTTCTAAATCTACAGTATCTTCATCACACAACGAATGAGATCTCATTGCGATTTTGTAGTGAGATTTTATCCGTTGTGCGTGAATCTTGTTCTTTATTTCATTGTCTAATTGCTCCTGCAGCACATCAACCATAGACTTCAACTCCTCTATCTCTTCATCCTTTTCTCTGATCAAAGAGTCTTTCTCTTGTAAGTTTGATTCCTGTGTCTTGATCCTGTTCTCCTGTGCTTTGATTTTCTCATCTCTTCGTTTAAGACGCTTGTTAACATTGCGAGTATTGTACTCGCTCAGCTTCACCAAAGCATTCTGTAAACGGCTGTATGTCATTTCTGACTCTTTTCCCAACTGAAGCAGTAGGGTGTTTTGTTTCATTCTTTCCTCTCTACTCATCCGTGTTTGCTCCTTCATGCTTTCCTTTAAGTCTTGGATTTCCGCTGTCTTCTGTTTCATCTCTGACAAACATTTCACGTACTCCCCTGACAATGTTTCTAATGTATCTTCCAATGTGTTGTTCTCCTTCACCAAGTCCCGCGAAAAGTTTATCAATCTGTTTAAAGATTTCAGATGGGTAGCAGGTAGTGGTACAACTGGACTGGACGAGCATGTACTAGTACCGACAGCTTTGCTGTTACTGATGTTGATGTTGCTTGTGCATCTTGTTTGTAGTGGTTTGGGGCCTTCAAACATCTTTGCCATCAAGATCTGTAACTCCTTTGTTTTCTTCTTCATCACAAGGTCCCTTCTCTTTTCTTCAATTTGTAGATGTGAGTGCGAACACTTGTTCCATTTGCATGTGTTAGTTTCTCTTTAAGGTCCGACGGCGCAATACTTTTTAGTCCATTTTGATAATTGTCTCATCTCTGAGTCCAGATTTCTTGATGAATGAGCAAAGCTCCAGCACAAGCTCGTTTGACAATTTTTCTCTACCCAAAGGGGCACTCACTGGTATGTCACCCTCAAGGTGGCTTAGAGATAGTCCTAATGCTTCGCTCAACTTCCCTGGGTATGTCACTAGAAAAAAAAGAATCGATATGTCTGAATAAAGTCTTATAAAGACCATGCAACTGAATGAGAAGCTCATGATCGATGATCCGGCCAAAGTTTTTTTCGTCCAAAATATGCCACATTGTCGTAAATTAAAAGTGTAACACACTTACCCATTAAATATATTACTAAAGAGCGGCGGAATTTATTTTGAATATAGAACCGACAACGTTCGCGATCTAACGCCCCCCTCCCTTCACGGCCGCGCGCATTGCACGCACCATTTTTCTGGCGGCCGGGAAAAACTAACAAAATGTTTCGCTAAACCCACAGCTCAAACTCGCCTCAAATGAAACAAAAACTACACCAACATAACCACAAGGTGTCTATATTTGTTGCTATGGGCGGACAAAATTGTTAAATTCAAGAAAAATAGCAAAATTTTCCACATACTTTTGGACGCTTCACTTCTCTGACTCGTACCTCCCGCCAGCGATGACGTAGCGATTTCGTCCCACCGCTGTCGTGAACCCTGAACTCTGCCCTTTCACATCAAATCATTCCCAGAGTTCTACGAGCCCGAGCGGTTTGTGGCTTTTGAGTGGAAGAAGACGTCTCCGCCGGCTGGCTTCAAAATAGCGTGCCGCGTTCGCGGCGTCCGAACGGGGCTGATTTTCGGCCGTATATAGCCGTATATAGTCAACTTTGCTGATTTTTAGCTCCTTTATTGATCCATATTTTCAACTAAAAATACTATGGCACGATAGCTGACATCATATACATTGTTGGTAACGATTTTTATTGACATAATACAAACGGTTGATTTTTTACGATCGTTTAAAAATATTTACTGCCTCGCGCGCCCCCGCATTCCAATGCCGGAGCGGGAAAGTTTGACATGCCTATCAATACTGTATATATAGTTAATGGGTACTCTTCCATACCAGGCTGGGTTTAGTAGAATGGTTTATTACAAGAACAAAAACAAGACAATGTACACACAAGCCTCCTGGCAGCTATGATGGCTGAATTGCGAGGCTTATTCTTACATGATGTTGCGACAAACTATGTACATTAGTAAAATCTAAAAATATAGTTAAATTTAAAAGCGAATATTAGTTTAAAATCGACATTCAATATAGCTGTGTGGAAAGTACATAAAAACATGATGTGGAATTACTGTACGAGTTCGTGAGTTAAAGTTCATGGTCTACAGTTCATTTAGACGTTTCACCAGGGCAGGGATCCCGCTTGTTGTGTGTGTTGCGTTTAAGTAGCCACACACGGCATAGACACCCCAATGATTGAGGGCCACTCCTGACATGAACAATTATGCTCGGAAATGAGCTACTGCCGATGATGATGATGACTGGAACAAAGCTTTTGTCCTGGCTGTTGTCAGGCACCTTGCATGCTTGTTGAGACTGAAAAGGATCACAGTCCTTCAGACAGGACATTAAGCTGTGGTCCACTGTTCATTGTGCTTGTCTAAATGAGCGAGGGGAATTTTCCTGGTATGATGAACCTGTATATGAATGACCCCGTATATAAATGTACCTAATGAGCCTGTATATACTGTATGTATTTGTAATGCCTTTATCTGTTACGACTAGTGGAAGAAGAGCTCTTCAGTGAGCTAGAAGTGGATTGAGATCTCCGCTTTCTTTTTGCCCTATTCATCAAATGTAGAGAGAAGTGTTATCTTACCAGAGGAACTGTACTTGCAGATTGTAGTGGTGAAGCCTGGGCTGTGTCCGGAGGTGAGATCCCAACACGTGCTCTGGAGACACACGAACACTGGAAACACAGCAATAAAACTTCAATTCTACATGTGTGTAGCTTCCATCTTAATACTCAAAGTCCTTCCCACCCATTGTCAGCTGTCCTTATGAACATTATGTGTTTAATGATATGAATCTTTACTGCATGTTCTTGCCCAGATGGGCTAAATGCACAAGAGGATGTCCAGTATGTAAAACATGAGTATTTCATACTGGTACGCTATATTCTAATGCAAAAGTGCTAGGAATCTATACATTACAACAATACTATACATTTAATACATACATACTTCCTTGTTGCTGTTTAACATAGTTTCTCCTTGTTTAATGTCTAATATCTCGCTACATGTGGTCTCTTGGTGCTGGTTTGTGCATGGTTCAGTTCAGAGTCAATTGAATTGTCTCTCTAGGTGCCTTGTGTTTACGTGATGCTGGAAGTGTCTCTAGGAGAGCACGTCAAATCTCATGTACTTCCCAGAGGTACTCTTCTTGTTCTTGTTTTGTGTATTTATTGCATATTTTGTACCATAAAAGTTGCCCCTTTTCTTCTACCAACATTATCGCTGGTACTCGTACAAAACTTTAATACACACCTTCACCATCCAACAGAACTAGTATGACCGATACCAGGCTGCGTAACGCTGCGTTACCAGCGCTGAAGTTTTTTGGAAAATATTTTTTTTTCAGTCCACGCCCCCCTCCCCACAGTACACGAGAAAATATGGCGTACTTACCAACACTGACATCGACTCTGGCGCCAACAAGGCGATAAACTAACCCGTCTTTAAACAGCTTTGCTACCCGAGGGATGTCTGGACGGAAAGACTGAAAAGATTTTCAGAAATTCAGTAGTTTTTCTTGGTAAACTCCTCTTGTTCTAACCAGCTACCGCCATCTTGAAGTTTGGGATAAGTCCATTATTAGATTGGGGGTGATGTAATTTTATACTGACGTAAGAAAAAATAGTTGAATGACATTATTGCTGACACAAACTTTATAACTTATTTATTGATACAAAAAATAAGAAATAAAAAAGTCAATTACCATAATTGTAGTTTTGAATATGTTTATCTTCTAGTATGAATATTGCTGAAAATCAGTATAGTATGACCGAAACATGACCAGTCAGAAAGGGCCTCTAGCGAGGTAAAGGCAAAGTGCAGATCACGTTTGGCGGGCGCAGTTCTAGAATGCGCAGTTCTAGAAAGCCTCCGGAACCCGTTTCCAGGGCGTTTGTTTGAAAGCAACACTTGAAATCAGGCCGATAAAGCAAAAGGACATCACCATGGCCGGTCTTCTTGGAGTTGAGACGTTAGTATATAGATAGACGTTAGTATGTAGCACCCCCATGCTTTATTATTCACCATTTTCAGTCACTGATGAAAGATACTACTCCCTGAAACGTTTAACTTTTCAGAGCTTTATCCAGGTGCTTTGTTATGTTTAGGAAAACATAACGTTATTGTCTTTTGCTCTGTTTCCTTTTCTTCCGCTTCTTCTCCAACCAATAAGGTCAATGACCTGAACCAGGCGTCTGTCACCGTGGTACATGTAACTGGTGTTGGGATACATCGTGTTGTAATTTAATAGCAGGAGGGATTTAGACTTCTGTCTGACCATATATATGAAAGTGTTTGAGTAAGAATTAACAGAGCAGACCATATGCGAAGGTAAACATTATACATTTGCTTTGCAAATGTTATCTTTCTAGTCTATTTTGTATTATGTAATAATGTTCATGTTTGTGTCTACATGTTATTCTTCTCTTCCCCTATTGATAGTTACGAAGAAGGCACCCTACAGTCCATATCGAGGCCCTCTATGGTGTCCAGGCAGAGCAGGGATGAACAGAAAAGTTCTCACCGGTCCAGGAAGAAAGCAGCGTCTTCCGGGATCAGCGGACTGTACGTACACAAGGAAGACACAGACACGGAGGAGAGTACCAAGGAACCCATCGCATGTTCTCCGGTATGTAGAATGTTCGGGCGTGAAAGGGAAAAATCGTGGCTTGGAAAAATACCGTAGTGAAAGGGTATCAGGATAGTATCTACAAGCCAGCGGTTGGAAAAGGTAGAAATTGGCCAAAGAGACAGATGAAATAGACATACCAGGGGAGCTGGTCCGCTAAAGCCTGAGTACATTACACGAACGTACTCCTTTAGGAAAGTTCAGTGAACCAACTCCCATAGTATGTTCTGTCGTATTTGGCCATGGTCAATTTCTATTACATGCACTATGATGATAAAAGGCAGGTTGTCCAGCTGGAGGACTGCCAAAGAAATGTTGTATTTACAGTCTTAGCCGCTCGGTGGCGCTCCTATGTCACTGATTCAAGAAGAACAATGATGTAAAGTCGTCATATCTATGGTCATATCGTCATATCATGTCTATGGAACATATGTACTCAGTGTTTTTGCTACATTTTATAATTTGTCCGTCTTTCTAGTGGTCAATGTCTCAGATTTTTTCCCCCTACATCTGTTTGAACTTCTGAGTTGAAGACGAAAGAAAATCCCACCATGGCAGAAACAGAAGACCTTTCTCTCTGCTGACCTCCCCCTGGCCAACCTGAAGGTCACAGGGGTCACTGGGGTTAAAAGGGGGCAAAGAAGCAACACAAGGTCGTTCCGACAAGTTGCACAGAAGGTTACGAACACCACCTTGGTCTAATGGAAAAAGGAGAGAATCTTACCGCTTATAAGTTATATAAGTACTAGTAATTCTCTTGCTTTTTGTACACGTATGAATGAATGCGATTGGGTGCCTTATATACCGTACAAAAAGGTACTCTCCAAGCAGAGGTTTGGGTTTTGGGGGTATTTTTAGCGTGTTTTTAGGCTTTTTTTTATCGGGGTTTCTCTTTTGCACTGAATTTTTTTCCCACAGTGCAAAAGAGAATCCCCGATAAAAAAGCCTAAAAACATGCTAAAAGTACCCCCAAAACCCAAACCTCTGCTTGGAGAGTAACAAAAAGGCCAAATTGTGCAAACGATTTTGTCAAAGAAAATGAAATGACGCTGTGAAGAAGTGTGCAGACTGGTCTTGTTTGTTGGATGCCCCTTCTGTTCCGTCTAATATTGGGACGCCGAAATGCGTGCAACTGAAGATTAGAACTAAGCTTAGTTTAAATCCGAACACGTGCCTCCAAATCCTACAGCGTTAGACAGGATCTTCTTGGTGTGAGCTATAACGAAGCACACATTTTGGGAGTCATTTCGAGTTTACTTAATTTAAAATAAACCCCCAAGAGATAAGAAACATACTACCCTTACATATGAATTAGACGTATATTTACTTCCAAGTATTTATGTTTCTCCATAGCATATATTGAGAAAAGGATAAATGGTCTATTCAAGAACTTGGAGAAGGTTCAACTTTCAATCTGATTGAAACCACCTTTCCTCGGTCTATTTTAATGGCTAACCCCTTCAAATCCGCGACTGGCGTGGTCCGTACGTGTTATCCTAGCCTGGTATCCAGTCTGATTCGTGGTCGGGGCCGCAAGAGCTCTGGCCCGCCCGCCTCACATAAGCTTCCCGGTGTGTATTTCACGAGAGATTAATTAGCTTTCCACGAACAGTCTATCGTGTTGGGGGAAACCAAATCCCCGAGCATACTGTCTCTGATTAGCGTAACACTCCTACCGGAACGGTCTGTTGCACTGGGCGGGGGAAGCTCTTAGAGGCCCCGAAGACACAACCTGCCTAAACACCCCAATACCCTCAATCACGATCAGACTGGATACCAGACTAGTGTTATCCCGAAGTGTCATTGGCCCTGGCGTGACCCTCTTGCATCAGTTGTTTTAAAACACCGCGTTCCCCTAGCCTCCTTCGCAGTCTTTTTGGGCGTCGGCGTTATTTTTCTCTGAGCGACGCGAGTAATATGCGGCCGTGAGGGACGATTTGCTGCCGAGGGAGTTTTTGCCACGGAGAGAAGGTTAGCGCGTCGCTCAGAGAAAAAAATAACGCCGACGCCCAACAAGACTGCCAAGGAGGCTAGTTTCCCCCTCCTCCTATCCACGGCGCCACACTGTCAAGGTTAACAACTACACCATTGCCAAGGCCAGCCTCTCCGCGCAGGGCCTTTGCCTGATGGACCCCACATGTACAGCCTTCCGGTCCTGGATGTAGCCTGGATACCAGGCTGTTGTGGGAACCCACAGACCAGTCCCTTGGCCCTTGGCTAGCTCCAGGAACTTAGCCTCTACCAGGAACTAGGAAATTACACGACAACACCCACCGTCAAAGTCAAATCCGGAGTCAGAGTCGGACTGTGGAAAAAAAATCCTTGGGTGTTTCTTGGCCCTACGTAGCTTGGATGCCATATCCATAACACACTAGGACCAGAGTTAGTCTGCATGTGGATCAGGGTCTAATAATTGAGCTCATGCGGGTGGCTTTTGTATAATTTCCTTGGAGCCATGTTGGCCCCGGAGCCGAGGAACTAGACTACAGCTGTGTATACCCTAAATAGTCTGGCGCCCAGGCTAGCCCTAAGCAGTGGGGCTGACCCGTACCTGTGTAGTGTGGAGCCCTTGTATC